GTTACATGCTCTGGTCTAGCTGGATTTGTAAGGTAGAATTGAGGTCATGATAGTGGGGTGGGGGGGAGAGGACGTGTGAGATATTTTGATGCTGCACACACATGCGTGCCTGACAACCTGCAGGTCTATGCCTCCGTGCCCTTCGTGCCCCTATCTCACTCATGGTCCCATTCTTGTCAGCAGTCTGTGGCGAATAGGACTGTTCCGTTCCCACCTCCCTGGGCCAGGCGGCACCGGGGGTTCGGTTGGCCCTAACTATGTCCATACAGGCGTAGGTCTCAGCACACAGGCTCTCAAAAGACCGATTTGGAATCATTGACATATTTGCAGTTTAAAATTGGAGCTCACTGGAAGCCTTGGTCAGGGCATAAATACAAAAGCTCCCTTGTAGAAAGCACTCTGAGGAATCCTCTGCTTTCGGAAGGGAAAGGCTTGTGTACTCAGAAACCAGCCCTGCAGCAGGAGGGTAGATGTGGACATCGGTCACCAGTTGGACTGGCCTCGGGCCCAGTGTGACCATGGCCAGCCGTGGGAGACCATGGAGCATCAGCTGGCGTGGGTCAGGAGGGAGGTGGCAGATCGGGATGTGCTTCTCATTTGGCTTCGGAGAAAGACCGGTCCCTGTCTTTCCCTCTGGAGTGACCCCAGCACATCGGGGACCAGACACGGGTAGAAGGGGCCTGTGCGTGTGCCCTGGGTGGCCCATGTTTCAAGATTCCAGCATTTCCCAAAGGCTTCCAACTTGAAATGTAGACCCCTCTTCCATGACAGCCTAACATACAACTGTCATATTTTAACATCTCCCAGTTAAAATTCCGTTTGAACGATTTTGCCTTTACTGACTTGATCCTTGCTGACGTCTCTCACCTGGACTCAGTCCTCTTCACAGGAATCCTTCCAATTCTTTTTTTCCCTTCCAATTCTTTTACACAGCTCAGTAGGAACATCTGCTGACCCTCAGTGGATAGTGTGCTTCGCCACACACAGATGATCAGCTTTCGGCATTTAATCAATGGAAAAGGAAATCAAAGATATTTAAAACGTGCGCTTCCTGTCAGATGATGAGTTTGTTTCCAGATTTAATGACCCAAGATAGAAAACAAAGCCCGGGAGAAGCCTCAAAGGGAGAAAGTGAACAAAAGTCTTTAAAAAGCGGGTTACCCATCAGGCTGCTATGTCCAAATTCAGCAGTTCAAATCCCCCAGCAGCTCCCAGGGAGAAAGATGAGACTTTCTACCCTTGTAAAGGTTTACAGTCTGGAAGCCCACAGGGGCAGCTCTAGACTGCCCTGTAGGATTGCTGAGTCAGCACGGACTTGATGGCAGGGAGTTTGGTTGGAGTTTTGATGAAAGGAATGACCTATGAGTATGTATAGGTTTGACAGGGTATTCCTGTTTTTATACGTGCTATAAATATATCCAGGAAGATGGGAGTTCATACAGGGAGCAAAGTTAAGCAAACGTCTCGAGGGAGCCAAACACCGGGAGGGAATGAGCTGCTGGGCCTGGGATCAGGCCATGGCCTTGGGGAAGGCTGAGGTCCTCTGTCACAAGACAGCCCACGAGTCGACGGGCTGTCTCTGTGAGGGGACTGAGGGCTGGCGTGGGCATCGACGTGCAGTGATTGGTCTCTCCCTGGCAGAGAGGACTAATGGACCACATGACCCTGAGACAGTGCTTCCTGGATGGTGCCCATCTGCCCCTGCTGCCACTTCAGAGGGGATAGAGCTGGAGAAAAACATGAGACAGAACTCAAAATCTCAGAAAAGACCCAACTCGTGGGTCAGATAGAGACTGTGGGACCCCAAAGCAAGTCCAGTCATCCTTCAAGTCTGGACCTGAACTCACGGCTTTCCTTTTAGACAGGCCTATCAGGTGAGCACGGGCGCCCTGGTGGTGTAGTGGTGATGCATTGTGCTACAATCCTCAAGGTCAACAGTTCAAAACCATGGAAGAAAGATGAGGCTTTCTACTCCTGTGAAGAGCCATGGTCTCGGAAACCCACAGGGCAGTTCTACCCTGCCCTACAGGCCGCTGTGAGTCAGATTGGCTTGATGGCACGGAGTTTGGTTTTGGTCTTTCAGGTGAACAGTAACACCAGGGACGTACATGCTCATTGAACCATCAACCCTTTGACACCAAAAGGGCAGCATTAATCTACGAAGCCAAGACCGGGACAGGGGAGGATGAGGAAGGTGGAAGAGGGCTGGTACACTGTGGGAACTGCCATCAAGGTCATGAAACAAATTATGCACGAATGGTCCAACGGAAACATTATTTTCTCTGCAATCTTTCACCCAAATCACAAAAAGTAAAACAAAACAAAACAAAATGAAGAAAACAATCACGAAAGGTTAAAAATAAAACTAAAAGCTCGACTACTTTACGGTTTCTTGTGAACCCCGCCCCCTTCCCCTCCCCCCTAAAAACTCCTACATAGGTGGCCCCTTAAAGAAATCTTCCCCTCTGTTCAACTCGGAGCATCCATGTGGCAGAAGAGGACTATCCTCAGTGACCTCCCAGACCCCCATGTGTACGGAAGCAGAGCCAGGCCTTTCTCCCGGCGCCGCCGCACAGTGGTCAGAAGCAGTGCCCTGAACTACTGTGCCATCGGGGCCCCCCTCACCCCACCCCTCTTTTAGAGCTGTGCACAGTCGATCACCAAAATAGCTCACTTGGTTCACAGAGGGCGAGGGGGGTTGTGTGCATAAACATATGATGGCATTTCCTTGATGGTGTTTCATGGTGTGCGGCACTGGCTGAATACTTGAAGCTATTCTGGAGTTTTGGTTCTTTTTGGAAAGGTATTGAAAGTGCTCCCAAAGCATAAAGACATTCTATTTCCACTCCAGTGGGACGTGGTTTCCTCTAACTGTTCTCTGCTAAAATAAAAGGAGTGTCTCAGCTCGTTCATAAAGTTTTCACTATATTATAGAGATAAAACCGGCTTAACTAACGCCAGAGTGAGAGCCTTCCCTAGCCTTGTTTATGAGTGTACAAGATCCCATCATGAGCAGCACCTTCAACAACCCCGTCCTGCTCTTGCTGCCCACGACTCAGAGCCCTGGTGTAACTGTGAACAACCCCAGTGCACGTCCCGGTGGGGTGTCTGATGTATTTAGTTAATAAGGCCGACACGTGCAGAACAGAATAACTTTCCATCGGTCAACTGCATTGGGATTTTCTTCTTTTGTGGTTTATTGGGCTTTTTCCCTTTTAATTAAATGTCTTTCTGTTGAATAAGTCCATAGAGGGATCTGACTACTACCAAGAAAAGCAAGCCAGGAATGGAGTGCACCCTTGGGACCAGGGCCCCTGTGCTGAGAACCTCCTGGATCCAGGGGAAGATGGATGCCAAAATACACGGTGCACTCCAAGGGACTGCAGACCCACAGATGCTGAAAGACCTTTCCCCAGAACTCACACAGGAAGTTGGTTTCTGCTAGAGCCAGCTGCTTAAGTTGACACGTCCAGCCTCCAAAACTGAGAGAATAAACACCGAAACAGCAATAAAAAATATGCCTCGAATTCCCTCAAGGACTGTATTTGCATACACTGCCACTTATGGACACCTGGTGGCGCAGTCAGGTAAGCGTTGGACTGCTACAGCATGGCCCAGGTTCACTGGCCTTTCAAACCCACCAGCGGCCCCAATGGGGAAAGACAGGGCTGCTTGCTCTCAGAAGGATTTACAGCCTGCTACTCGTAAAACCCAATAGAAGGTCCTAGGATTAAGAATCGACTCGATGGCGGTGGGTTTAAGTTTGGGTTTATACTGCCATTTTAAAAGGAAAGAGACGGGAGGGGGAAAAGAGGAGCTGATACCAAGGGCTTAAGCAGAAAGCAAATGTTTTGAAAATGATGATGGCAACATATGCACAAATGTGCTTGAGACATTGATGGATGGATTGTTCTAAGAGCTGTAAGAGCCCCCAATAAAGTGACATTAATAAAGAATTAAAAAAGGAAAGGTCAGAGCCTAGGTGACAGGGTCAAGCACTCGATGGCAGGCTGACAGCTCAGACCCCCCCAGAAGTGCCTGGGAAGACAGGCTAGAACCCTCCTTCCAGCAGTTTGAACACCTGGAACACCCTACGGAGCGGTTCTGCCTAATGGCATGTGTTAGTCGGAGTAGACCAGAGAAACAAATCCATAGACCGTCATGTATATAAGAAAGAGCTTTATGTACAAGAGCAATTGAATATTGAGAAAACATACCAGCATAGTCCAGATCAAAGTCCGATATTAGCCCATTTGTCCAATACCATTCTATAAATTCCTCCTCAGACTCATGCAACACATGCAATGATGCAGAATGCAGGAAGATCACAGGCCAGTGGGTGGAAGGTCTTGTGGATCCAGTGGCTGTGTAAGCATCTCGCTGCTGGCAGGGGCCTCCACGTGGCTCCTCCCGCTCCAGAGCTCTAGCATAGCACCATGTGTCTTGTCAACAGAAATGTCTCACAGGGAGTGAGACTGTGTCCCGCCTCCAGTGAGCTACTTATCTCCTCAGTGCCTCCAAATGAGATCATCAAGCTGCGACCTGATTGACATGCTAAACTCCACCCCTTCATTTTTAATACTCTCAAATTGGCAACAGATTATGTAACTACCACGTGGTAGTTGTCACATCCTAAAAGCAGGGACATCCCTCCATTTACAAACTATTCATCACGAGGGGGAGAAACAAGAAAAGAAAGGAGAGTCTCTTATGTAGGAATTTCTGGGAGTGGGGGGGGAGTCATAAAAAGGAAATTTGGAGAAACGGGCAGCTAAAGTAGAAGCCAGAAGAAAAATGTTGACTAAATATAAGGTGATGTTCTCTCAGGGATCCTGGAGCAGGGACCTAAGTGGGTAAAAGAATCCCTGACGAACTCGCAACAATGTATCAATACTGAGTCGTCATACATGGTAACCATTCAGCCCCCTCACCAAACTGCATGGACTTCTCAGTGTTTCTGTAAATCTCAAAATGCTCCCAAAGAACAAAAGACCAAAACAAACAAACACAAACCCTGCTACTGTAAAACACGGGGGTGGGGGGTGGGGGAGGTGGGTTGTTACTAAAGGGATGAGCGGAGCTTAAGTAGTTTTAGCTTTTTGCCCGTCTCTGTTTACTGGGCCCTGCTGCTGCCGCTGACCTGTCTGGATGCTCACAGCTCCCTGCTGACGCCCCAGCGTGACTTCCCAACAGTGGGTTTTGTTTGAGAGCAGCCCAAGAGGAGGCCGGTTCCTTCTCTTGTTCTAAAAAACAGAACAAAATGGATTTAGCATCTTTTAGTGGGACTGTTGTACCAGCCGCTCCAATAAACACATTTCTCTCAACAAAGAAAACACCTGCTGTGACAAAGCCTCTCACCAGGGCAGGCCTCAGGGTGTGTTGGGGGACAGGGGTCCCAATTCAAGGGGCGATAAGGAGTCTCGAGTGGTGCTTCACGTTAAGACTGCCTTGAACACCACATCCCTCCGCCTCACCCCCACGAGTGGGCCTCGTACACCTGGAGGGACCCAGCTGTGGAGATACCCAAGCCTCTCAGGTAGTTTTAATTGCAGCCAGGTTCCCACACTGAAACTATTTGTGGGAGCAGAAGGCCCAGTCTTTCTCCAGAGGAGCTGCTTTGCTCGTGGTGTCGAACTGCCAGCCAGGTGGGTTGAGGCCCAACCTCTAACCACCACACACACACACACCTGGGGTCCCCTTGCAGGCCAGCTAGCAAATGACCTTTACTATGCCACAGGGTCTGTGTCCTCTGCCGTGCCCACTCCAGCCCCTTTACCCAGTGTCCCCCGCGTGTCTCCACGTGGGGCCCAGGTTGGTGTGTTGTGCCCTGTGGTATCCGTGGGCCATTGGCTAGTCTGTGGAGCGGCTGTCCTGGGTCATCTGGTCTCCCTGCTCAGATGGGATTCCCAAGAGAGGACACCTGCTGCTTGCCCTGACCATGGCCTGCGTCTGAAGCTCTGCGGCCCTGGGCCACCTGCCTCACGGGCAGCCTGTCCACACACACTGCTAGTTGGGTGAGGCCTCCACAGAGACCCAGGGCACAGAAAGTGCTTGAGGAGTCGCGTCAGTGAAGCCTCTCAACCTTCCTAAGGCCGCGACCCTTTCTGGCGGTGACCCCCAACCATAACATTATTTTC